ATGCCTTTGAATTATGGCATTGCTGGAGAATATCACATCTACTGCCCAGAAGAAGGAGAGCACCTGTCTTGGAGAAGTACAGTCGGAAGAGTCCTTAGAAGTGAGAATGGCGAAGACTGTCTCGCTGACTGTGGTATGTCATCAGGCAGGACCTGTCCCTGGAGAAGTGTGTGGACATCATGCTTGGTAAAAGCAAAAGGTCAGCCAGAAAGAGGAAGCCCCCCTCACACACACCCCCAACACACACACGAGATATATGGAAGCAGAGGCTATAACATGGACTCAAACGTAAGACCGGCTGTGAGGATGGTACAGGACAGGACAGTGTTTTGCTCTGCTGTACCCGGCCTTGTACACGAACATGACATGGAACGGACTCCTTGATGCCGACAGCAACCATAATGGCTTTAAAGCCCCCAGCCCAGAGCTGAGTGAGCCGTGGGGCTGCAAAGCCCGTTCCTATCCCTCCTTTTGCAGAAGACATGTCTTGGCCCTTCATGCACTTCACAGTGAATGAAGGAGAATCCAAGGGGTGCCCCTTTAGTGTCTTAGGGACCGGACGGAAGCCCCTACCTTGTGCGTTCACATTGGCATGGTGAGGTGGGTGGGCGGTAGAGAACAGAGGCTGGTGGGAGCTCCGCAGCAGGATCCTGGGCAACCCTGTGCTAGTTTCTGTTCCTGAAAACCCAGGCTGGAGCCCCAGTCCCGGGTCCCTGGGAGAGGCTCATCAGGATACGTGAGCCAGGACTTGCTTGGATGGATTCTAAGGTGTGTGTGCTTTCCACTGTCTAGTGATCAACTCTTCAGTCAAAGAGAAGTTCCTCCAGACCCTGCCGCATACCTGTGGCTCAGGGAGGCCTTCCCTGCCCCCCATGGGGCCAGCCCCTGCTTCTAGACTCTTGTCCCCTCTGAGCTCTTCCTCGGTAGACTAATGGGACCGATGGGAGTCAAACATTTATCCATGTGTTGTGTTTAATGCAAACCCCTCACATGGCCTGACAGCACCCGTAAAGCCCACTCTGAGTCTCGTCAGCACTGGGTCCAGGGCCTCCAGCAATGTTTGTGGTGAGTGTCTCAGAGTAAACTTGAAGTTCCTAATAAGCTCCTCAAATGAGACTAGGGATGTGCTTCCTGGATGTCAGCACCATGCATCCAGGTGGGGCTTCAGGGCTTCATGTGGGGGTGTCAGCTGGCCGAGGGTTGTCTTGGGCCACACTGAGGCTTCCTCCCTGTTGCTTTTCTCACAGAGACTGGCCTATGGCATCACTCCGGAGAACGAGCACCACCTGGTGGCCCAAAAGAACATCAGACAGTTCCAGGTGGGAGCCAAGGGAAGGGGCGGGGTGGGGGGTGGAGACAGATCCAGCTGCTGGTGCCCTGCAGTCCTAGGGCCATCCTGAGCTAGGACACCAGGCAGCTGGCAGCAGAGGGTGGAGCGCTGGTAGTGTGGTGTTAGGGAAGGTAGAGGAAGCTGGTCCTTGGTCCCCCAGCCTCTTGTGTGCCCACCTCTAACCAGTGAGAGAAGACAAAAGGGGAAGGGTGACTTAACCCAGAGGCTGGGTGAAGGGTTCAAGGAAGAGAGGGAGAAGGGCCATGGAGGGTCCTAGAGGGGCACTTGGGTCATGAAAGACGCTGGACATCCTATCTGTAACTTTGGGCCACGCACTCCGTCTCTGTGAATACCCATGCCTCCGTTTCATCATGGTTAAGATAGTCATCTTAGCCTCCTTCCTCACATTCAAGACTCTGAACTGGTGAGGATATGTGATGACTGCACCTCCCCCCCTCCCACATTATCGGGGGAT